CAATCAAGGCACTCATGTTGTTCCAGAAGTGACACCGGGTCAATGTCATGGCGTATTCTTAGCGGATTACCCCGGGTTGCTACGGACAAGCTGAGCCGAAACCTCCCAAGTAAAGGACCTGCGTCACGTACATATAGGCAGAAATATAGGGAGCCCTGATTGTAACTTGGCTTCATCCCAAGGTCAGGTCCCCTCACCCGGCACAGCCGCATCTGCTGTAACACCTGGCGGCAGGGGCTACCCGAGAAACGTGGGCAACCACCTACTAAGCGGAGCGAAGTGCTCTGGACGAACTGATTTTGAAAAGAGCAGCCCTCTGGCAAATCTGCCCCAATCAATCAGGGCCCCCATTCGACGGGAGCGGGGGACAATTTGGCCGTCGAATCACAAAGAAACCAACGCACATGTCTACCCTTCGTTGATCACTTGGCCGCCGAATGCTTTGGTTATGAGGTTACAGACTCCTAAACGGGGTTGAGTTACTGGGCTTAGCATTGAGACCGCAAGCCAGCGCGGCCGGTTTGCCCGCCTGCAACACATCAGCTGACTCTGCCTGCATCGCAACTGCTTTCAAAGGAGACTGTGTGGCAATGAGTCGGCCACGCTGAGGTAATGTTCATGAAGACTTACGTCCACCCACCATTGAGGGTGTGACCTATTAAAGAAAAACCCAAGGCCATGTGAGTGTGCTCATTAAAACACACAGACACAGACACAGACACACACACACACAGACACAGACACAGAGACACACACAGAACACAGACACAGAGACACACACAGAACACAGAGACACAGAGACACAGAGACACAGAGACACAGAGACACAGAGACACAGAGACACAGAGACACAGAGACACACACACAGAGACACAAAGACACAGAGACACAGAGAGACACAGAGAGACACAAAGAGACACGGAGAGACACAGAAACACACAGAGACACACAGAGACACACAGGGACACAGAGAGACACAGAGAGACACAGAGAGACACAGAGAGACACAGAGAGACACAGAGAGACACAGAGAGACACAGAGAGACACAGAGAGACACACAGAGAGACATACAGAGAGACACACAGAGAGACACACAGAGAGACACGCAGAGAGACACGCAGACAGACACAGAGAGAGGCACAGAGAGACACACAGAGAGACACAGAGAGAGGCACAGAGAGAGACACAGAGAGACACAGACACACAGACACACACACACACACACCCACACACACACACACCACCGATTTTTATGGTAGCGCCAGCGTCCTTCGGCCTTCAAAGCAAGACTCACGGGTCCCACAGTCCATGGTCTGGATATTGGGCAAACCGTCCGTCCCCTTCACTCAGCAAAGATGGCAAACCGGGCAGGGCGTGGCGGGTCACCCCCAAACGCGTCACATCACGTCATTCTACCAGGGAAGCTTACCTTATATGGACCAACAAGGTGATGCTGATGCTTAAACGGAGATACAGGCACCCTAAAAAACATTGGCACCGAGTCCAAAAGAAACTACAGGCCCCTGGCGGGCATTAAGTGAGCCTCCCATGTCCGGAACCCCAAATGGATAGACAACTCAGGATATCTTGACACTAACAATGTAAGTCACCATCAAAACCCGGTACACGGTCTATCCAAAACCGTGTTGCCTCCCAGAATGTAAGTCACCGTCAAACCCGGTACACGGTCTACCCAAACCGTGTTGACTCCAAGAATGTAAGTCACCATCAAGAATTGGTACACGGTCTACCCAAAAACATGCCGACTGCAAAAATGCAAGTCGAAATCAAAGCCTTGTACTTCAGGGGTCTACTCAAAACCTATGTATCAAAATCAAGAGGACATGGCTCACCTCTTATGGCTGGGACTGCTCCTTACCCTCAATCCAGGCCTTGCTGGGTGGGCGGTGCTGCACCAAACTCCTACGAGCGGCTGGACTTGTGAAATATTTATGCACCTGTCCATGGAACCTGCGGAGTACTGAAAGGCTATTTCCCTTTAAAAAGGGACCCTCTGCTTGGTTCCACATTAACGGACAGGAGGGTGCCGGAGATGGACAACAGCGATTTAAGCTTGGCAAAAGTGGCTGCAAATGTGGCAAATTTCTAGACAGGCGACGGTCCATTCATTGACCCTGGCCCCCCTCCAATGGGCTCAGCTCAAGCTGCCCAGATAGGCGGGTTGCTGTTGTTTGACACTGCCCCAAAGTCACTCATTGTTGCACTGGCGATCTAGGTGTGGTTTGCCATGTCGGTGGTTTGGAACTGAATGGCGTGTTCTACAATCTTGGAGACGCAAGCGGCTAGTTCCCTACGTCACCAGGCAGTAATTGTGACTTGCCAGGGTTGCTCCAAGTATGGTGAAAGGATATATGATTTGTCAGACCCGAAACACAACTGATGTCCAAACTTGTGGGGTTGAACGTCATATAGAGGCTCGGAGCAACCATGCCTGGTGTTGGTTTATCCGTGGGCTGCGCTGATACCAGATCTCTCCATGTTGCTCGCTTCCGAATCCTTCCAACGGCCTCTGGGAGCTTGAGGATCCCGTACGCGTCAAGCTCAAAACCCATGCACTCGAAGCAAAATGGAAGCAGGGCTTTAATGAGGGGCCCTCTCATCAGAATTCGGTAGGGATTCCATTTGGATGGTGTTCCCCGCTAAAACTCATAGCCAAATGGAAGGTGGATATTCACAGGCGTCCTTTAAGTTAAACTTGGTTTCCCTTGGGTCAAATCTCCTGGCTTGCTCGTGAAAAGGCTGTGCACGTAAGATACCGATCGGATTCGATGTGGGGCTGACATTCAGGTTTGGCAAAGGCAGTCCAAATGGATCTGTCTCCAAAAGCAGAGAACCCCTTGGTTGTGTTTTTGTTGATATCAAAAGTAAAACGAAGCGAACCTCTAGGCTTCGACGTATAGACACCTGCACATCGGCCCCTTCTCTCCCCGCCCGGCGAATCTGTCCTGCGGTCGTGTCGAGTGCTTCGCTCTACCTCAGGCCAACCCAAGGCCCCTTTCTCGAAGAACACAAGGCTAAACTTTGAGTCCGACAGGGATCAACCAAAAAGAACTGTAGCCATAACCTCTACTGCTGAGCTTTTTCAGGATGCTCTGATGGTTTCCTTCCACAATATGTATTTTAAACCCATTGGCGGCTTAAACTCCCTGAGTCAGACACCTCTTTTCGCCATGGAGGTTCTGCTTCATGTTTGGGTCTGGCTTTTGTTAACCTAACCTCCAACCCTTGGAGGGGGGGGTTCCGGTTCGGGTGCGGGTTGAGGTGTGCAGCGCTGAGTCCAAACACCACTTGCCCAGTCACACCTCCGTTTAGCTTTCCAAGCGAATCAATACGATCTTTTACCCCAGCCCCCCGCACCCCCCCCCCCCCCGCAACTTTGTTGAAATCTTACGCCGATTAACATGCACTCTCAGTTGAAACATCACTTGCTCGATCATCATGGGGAAAAGGTTCACATGCACCCCTAGTTGAATCATCACTTTCTCAAAATCCGGGGGGGGGGGCTGCCGCCTCCCCAACCCCCGCCCCGCTGCTTTTCAGAAAACTTACACAGATCCCCAATCGAATCATGACTTTTTTCGAACATTTCCCCCCCCCAACTCCCCCGCTGCTTTTTAGAAACTTTACCCCAACCACCTTGCTGCTTTTATAGAATTCCTACGCAGATTAGCTTAGCAAGCACCCTCAATTGAATCATCACTTCTTCTTTCGAGCATCACGGGGGGGGTGGGGCGCCGCCCAACTGCCCAAAACCCACCCTAAACCTGCCCTAACCCACAGCCCCTCATGAACCTTGCGGACCTTCGCTCCCTTGGCTTCTGATCTTCTTGTCCCCTCGTGGCTCTTTCGCCCTTTCCTCCTTTCGTCCTCCTGGCGCTTGCGAAACACCCTGTTCACCCGGCCCCTGAGTGAGTCTTTTTCATTCTATTCTTATTTGTGATTGCTAACATGTTGTTTTTCTTAATGTTCATACTGTTTGTTTGATACCCTACCCGCGCCATTCTGGAGGGGTTCCGAAAAAGGGCGCACCCATTCCACCTTCAGCCTGGATCTGACCCTCCACTTCGCCAGGCCAAGACCCGCGCGCGCCAGATGCGGCGCATCGGCGAGGTGCAGGCGGCCGCTCCCGGCTCCATACGATCCGTGGATGTGGAGCGATTCCCCAAAGTTTCGGGGGAGGGGGGGGGGGGCAAAACGACGATGAAGGTGGGGTATTGAAGGTGGGAGGGGTGGGGGGGGGGGGTATTTCAGGTGGCTGGGGTTCTTGCAATCGGACCTGTGATAAGCATCTATCCACAGTTGGATGGATGTTCTGTGATCGGCACATGTAGGCAAGTCGGAACGAAGGAGCCGCTGGAACCGCTTCAGCCAATTCCTCCGACCCCTGGGTTTCTGTCAGAATGGACTCATTCCAGCCAACCTAATGAACACAAACAATCGGAAAACCAAACACACATGCCAAGAAAAGTGAAGAAAAGACGGTGCTTGCCTTTCAAGGAAACCGATATGAGCAGTAGTAAGTTTTTGAGGAATACATCGAAGTCTCAAAACAATGTTCCACATTGAGTGCCACCCATGTTACTTTTTGCACGGAGGAATCACGCAAATCATGGTAAGATGGTTGGGGAAAGCTTGCTCCACCAGGGCTTCGTTGTTTCGGGTCCCAACCGTTTGCTGGACATGTTGACCCATCGACCAGATTGATCATATACTGCCCATGTCCTCAGATGCATCGGCTGGACATCTGTGAGCTTCTCATGGAACCGAGCCAAACGCTGCGCAGATTCGGATCCCGGCGAACATGGTTGGGAAGGCCAATAAGAAGGGAAAAGGTAGCAGGGGAGAACTTTGCAACCGTCTACCTCCAAGCCAGATTTGAGGAAATTCCATGGAATTCGCCCTCTTCCCCTGCTACCTCTTCCCCTGCTTATTGGACATGTGCCACTAACATGCCGATGGGAAACTCCAGCTCGCGCGCCTGCACCAACTGCTCCTCGGACGGGATGGGACAAGAAAAGGCGTGCTTTTCTCTGGGAGGGGTACAGAAGAGATGAAGTTTGCCATCGATCGTTCGTTGAGAAAAAAACAAAGTTGTTAGTGTTGCTGCAAATTCACACACCCGGGAGGGTCCTTCAAAAGAAGATTTAGGAATGCTTGGGTTCCGGGTCAAGAAGGGAGCGTCAAACAACATTTGAGGGCCCTCCTTTTGGTTCAAGGAAAGCAACCGTTTGTAGGGGTTGGTTTGAGAAGTTGGGTCTGGTTGGAATGGCAGTTGGATGGGGCAAGAACTCCGGCCAACCATCGTCTGCCTTCTTGATTCACCTGTTGCGTGGGTGTCAACATTCAGCTGACCCTTAGTTCGCGGCTTGGATTGATGGCTTGGAGCTTAGCAGAGCAGGTGGTTCCCATCTCATTCCTCTACGAGCACCAGGGGGTGGTAAAATTTGCAATCCTGCTTTCCACGCCTCCAAATAAGAGTTACCTGCGACCATTCGGCTCTGCTCATGGGAACCCCTTCCCTTTCTGTGATACCGAAGTTGCATTTCCCATGACCCAGACCTGTGACGGACAACACCCCTTTAAGGTCCTAAAAGAAGAGTCCTACTGCCTCGACCATGGGATGTTCAAACTTGGCCGCCTCTGTTTGGCTGGGAGTTGTAAACCAGGCAAGCCCCAGCCCCATTGAGCTTATACCCCCCCTTGACAACCAAGAGGCGGTCAAGTAACCCCCGGCAAAATGTAGTCCACGCTTTCCAGTCAGCGGTTGGACAAGTGAACTGTTCCAGCCAACTTTGGCCAAGCCGGCCACGAAAACAAACTCTGAGTTCACTGAACCCCGACAGGAGCATTGAATTCGCCTCTCAACTTGGGCCCGTCATATTCTTCTTTTTGGGGGGGGGCGGAAGCCCTTTCTTGGCGGGTTTCGGGTTTCGGCCGCTCTTTAGACCCCCGGCCAGCTCTTCGCGGCCCAGCACGCCGTGGCCCCGGAGCCTGAGCTTCCGATGTATGTCGGGCCCAACAGCCAGGAATTGAGACCCCCAAACACCTCCGGGCTGTCTAATGGACTCGGGTCTTCCATGGGGTGCATACCTTTCAATTATTCAAAATGGGAATTACTCTCTGGAGTTTCCAAGCACCAGCCAGTTGAAGGCCGGAATAAGCTCCATACTCATGAGCCTTATGCAACCTTGCAACCTGTGTTTGTTTAAGAAACCTGCCCCAGAAAATCTGCAGGAAGTTTGCCAACCCACCAAATCAGAGTTTTTGGTAGCCTGTAGACCTTTCTGGAGCCGGCTTCTTGCCATTGCTTTCCCTACCCCCATCCATCCCAGTCCAGTTTCCTACGACATCGCCTGAGCTATCTAGGCATTTTGAGCCCTATCAGCTTTAGACAACTCCATGTTGCACGCTTGTTCTAATGATTTGCGACCCGTCCCCAAAAAAGGTCCCTCGAAAAACATCCGAGTCTCCTTTTGGAGGACCTACCACCTCCTTGGGGCATGTTTTTCTCCCTGAGCTCAGCGTCGGCAGATACTGCGCGGTGCGTTTTGCACAAACAGCCTCCACAAAAGGTACTAGGAGCAGCCAGGTGATTCTTCTACGCCTTCTTTTTGAGGATAGCAGGCACCGGCTTTCCGTCGTAGCCTCCCTGGATCATGTCCACCGTCCCATCCTCTTTAATCTTCGCCAGCGCACCGTCACCTTGGATCTTAAACTTCATCGGGAATGCGTTCTCCTTGTCCTCTGCGGCCTTCTTCTCGTCGAAAGGCGTGAAGGTGAGAAGGTCGCCCGAGAAGCTACAGGCGCCCTCGTACTCCCATTGTTGGGACGGGCTGTCCCTGAAGTCGCAACGGGTGATCTTGACCTTGGACTTCGCATCGCTGATCTCGATCTCGATGTCGTAGTCCCCCCAATCCCCATTGCTGGCGGAGGCGCTGTAGGTCCCTGCCACCTCCTTCGCGGAAAACTCGACTGCGCTGGGCCCCTTCACACCCTCTGGCTTCGAGGATGATGCACACCCCATGGCTCCAGCGGTGAAATGCAGGTTGAGAGCAGCTCCTTGAGCTAAGAGGATCTCTGAGCCCAAAGATCGGTGAGCCCTGGTAGTTTGAGGGTCCAGAAAATCCACCCATGGCTTCAGCCCGCTCCTTGGCTCAATCCACCAGATCGAAGGCTTGAAATTTGCAGTCTCGAAGGGACCAGGCCAACGAAGGGAAACCTTTCACCATCTTTCACCTATGGTCTATCCTTGTGGTCGTCATTCTGAGCTTCTTTAGGCAACCCTGCTTGGCGCGAAAATGGAAGTGTCGGCTCAACCCTGTTCAGTTCATCCCCCTTCAGACCACACATGGATCTTTGTAGGGAAAGGAATGGTGGGTACGGGGCTGTCCACCATATTCTACTACTTCCTGGGGGAAAAAACAAGTCGGTCAGAAATGGGACTACACTTGTAGAAATGTGTTATCCCTTTCTGTGATATCGTTTGGTGTGGCAAACTGTCAGGGATTGCCAGCCTGGCATCAGAGCAAACGAGTCCCTAAAGTGGCAACTCATTCGAATGTCTTGCTTTGGGGGAACCCACTTTTGGTTTAACCCAGTGATTCCATTTACCTATACGTAAGTCACCAAGGGCTTGCCACCTTTTGAACACCAAACGCACAATGGCTCTGGGATCCACTGGTCCCTCTTTGGGTTCCAACTTGGTTTCTAGGGGAGCAAACCACAACTTGGAGGCCATAGGTTTCTCAGATGCCGACTGGATTTCCATGGGCACAAAAGAAAAAGGGCATCCTGTTTTAGTTGGTTGACTTTCAAGGGGACCCCTTCCCAAAAAAAATGAAAAGCGGGTACTGGGCAACTGGGCGCGCGGCCATTCCTGGACGTACGCCGGCTGACGCCGCGCGTGGTCCAGAGCTGTGCGCCCCAGCAGGTCGGTGCGGACCTACATCGGGGTGGCCCAAACTGCATGCCCCAAACCCCTGTGCAAAGCCTGCTGAAAAACAAATCCATTTTCAATGAAGTCAAAGTGCAAAGATGCCAACTTTCTGCCCTGCAAATCCTGCAAGAAACACCACACGCTAAACACACAACACACACACAGTGCAATTTACGGTAAAGTAGGGAGTTGCCTTGTTCCCTGGCTTGCAATCTTCAGAGCATTCACGAAGAAACAAAATACAGCTCAGCTCTGGATGCTGGGCAAGGTCGAGGAAAAAAACCCTTGCTCAGATGCCAAAGTAGGCCATCTCGACGACTACTTGATCACGAGGGTTGACTGATAGAAATTGGTGCTAAAAACCAGCGTTTTCCGCCATGCACCAAGCCCCTCACAGGAACTCAGGCTTTCAAGGACCAAGGTGATCTTCAAACTCAGGATTCCTCACACCGCATTGCCAAACCAGTTCTGGTCTCCAGTCTTCCCCTAAAAAAGGTGTGGTTGGGGTGTGTTTGGGCCCCAAAGCTGCGAACAATGAAGCTGACCCGACTTTTTTCGGCAAAGGCCACGAAACAAGGAGTCCCAAACGTTGTTTTTTCTTCGGGTGCCCATCGAAGCAACGCCTTGGTCATTCATCAGGCAGCCCTTTCCTCCCCAGAAATGCCAGCAAAATAGAGGATCGGATTTGGACACCAGTCCAAGCAAATACCATTTACACTCCTTAGGGCTTCCTGCTGAAAAACTACAAGCTCTCTAGTCCAAAACATGGATCCCGCCCCGCTCGTTTGCCCGCATCCGCGAGCTCGAAGCCCCAAAAAAACCTGGGCTTCGGCGCCATGGGCTGGGGCTCCGGCGGGGTCTGCAGCACTCTTCAGCAGCAGATCCGCAACCTGGATAGCCAGCCAGGGCGCACCCCTCCTTTCAATGTCTGAAAACAACAAACTGAGAAACTCGTTGTGTCAATTCATCGGTCCATCAGTGAATCGTATAGGGTTTTAGCATCCCCAAACACCGTTCTCAACGCACATGCTTGCCTCCGCAGAGTGGAGGTCGAGTATCCCGCTAAACACGACCCAATTTTGGAAAGACCCAGACTTGGGCGCCTCTGCTTGTTACAAGAAGGGCTATAATTCCAGTAAAACCCTGCTTCATGAAACCCAAAACGGAAGTGTCCCAACAGGAGAATCCTCTAAACATGTTGTTTTAGGAGGGTCCATAATAGTTCGAAATGTCAGCTCCTCAAGCCTGTTGCCGCGCCTGCGTCTGCCCATGATGTGCAGCAGACATGAGAGCTGTGACCTTGGCTGCACAAAGGCTTGGGAGTGTGTCTGTGTGATTGTTGCTTGGTTGCTGTTGACCCCCCTGCAACAAGTGAATAACTTGTTGGGGGTTTAGTGGAAAGGTGTTTGAGTTCAACCAAAAAGTTAAAGTCTAAAGATCCAACCCAATAGCAGTCAAGTTTGGTGGGCGACATAGATATAGGCCTCAATGGTGTCCATCACGAGTCCCGATCAAGATTCATCTGCCCCTTTGGATGCCTGGGTACGTGTTTTGCAGCTCAGCAGGGGGCTGCGCCCTTCTTAAGGGACTTGAACAAAGGTTTGGTGGTGAAACGGGCGTCCAACACTCAATCCCTTTCGCCCTTTGGACAATCAGTCATGTTCCGCGCACTCAAACATCTGCCTGTGTTTGGGGGGGGGGGGGACGGATTCTCAGCCTATGAACCTAAGGGGTGGCACCAAGAGCTCTTTTCAAACGCTCTTTGCCCAAATCATTTTGTTGTTTGCAATATTTAGGTTGGCAGCTTTTTCTAGAGAAAGATTCGGATCCGAAAGAAAACTATTGGAAGTTCCCCCGAAGCTTCCTTGGCTTTCACATAGAAAGGGAACTGGACAAACATGGAAACCCTTCACAAAGCTGCCCCAGACAGGACTCGGTTGCAAAAAATCGTGTGCAGAACCAAAAACCACTTGTTCACCTGCAGATGAACGGAAGGAACCCACAATGTCACCATATATTTGCAGAGGAATCTCTTCTTCGGCGAGCTAGACTCTCCTTTTTGGGTTCCGTCTTGTTGATTCGCGAGTAAAGCTGCCTGAAGGGGCCCTTTCAGAGACTGTAAAGAACAACATGCGCACACCTGTATGATCAGGTTTATACTTGGTTGTTTCTCAAATTAGGGACCTTGTGCGGGGGTTGGAACCTTGAAACCATCCCAAAGGGGGACCCCTATTCTGAGAAACACCAATGAAATAAAATAATTTTGGATGAGCCCCCGTAGTTGTAGTTAAACAGTCGGATTCCCCTTGTCCGCTCCAGTTCTGAGATAGTTGTTCGCTGCGCAGGGAACGCCCCGGAGACATTCCAAGTCCGGCAGTCCTCGCCATGCAAGATTCCACTCTCCACCAGAGGCGTCAAGTAGCTTCTGCTCAGCTCAAACATCAAGACAAGGACCCCTGCGCCCAACCCTCAGAGCCAATCCTTTTCCCGAAGGCAAGAAACGCTTCCGGATCCTTCCGGCTGATCGACATGGATCCATCAAAGAGTCGGGGTCCAAAGCAACAATGATGATAAGAACTGGATTGCTCCAAGACGAGAGGAGACACATTCAATTGTCTATTGTGAACTTGGTCAATTTTTAACAGCCGCAGGAACCACCCTCAAATCAAGTGACCCTCAGTCGGTTCTACAAATGGGTTCTAGTAACCCCCAGTGGCACATGTTGGTTCATGGTTCGGGCTTGTGAATAGGCTTCACCTAAAATGAATTTCAAGAAATGGGAACGGAAGCAATTGTTTAAAGGCTGGGGCAATTCTTGCATCATTAGTGTCACTCTGGCTGGGGCAACTTCCTTTTTACCAGGCTTCACCCCCCATTTTGTGGCCCTCGTTTACCCGAAGGGGCCGTATCATCGCATTTCTTCTGGGTGCTACGGACTCCGCCCCACGCCACTGCATTGATGTCGGCGCGGCTCGTCAAGCACCTACATGACTTGCGAGTGGAGTCCACTCGACGCCGAGGGACCCAGCTTCGGGCCACCAAGATCTGTGGGCCATGGTTGTGCCCGCAAAAGTATGGATCCGTGTAAAACTCGTTCATTCGTTGTCTGAAGCTCGCTTTTCAGGGGTTGATGGCCATCGCTGTCAAGTAAACTGGATGGCACGCGCGCGCATTATCGACTACACCCAAGACTTCCTGGGTTGGCCATCAAAAGCTGAAGCTTTGCGTTTGCCACTAAAATGATCTTCCCACAAAGCAGAGTCCAGGAACTCGAGTGAGTAAAAGAAGCCTGGCAGCCTGGAGTATGTAGGAGTTTGCGGTTGGAGGTGTCGGATGCGCACACATGGCCAGACATAGACCCCCTGCAAAAAGCTAGCTTGTTGCTAAACAGGGAGCATGAGGGAAAACCAGGGGAGCAAAAGTTAAAAGAGGTTGGTGAAGTCTGGCAAGGGAGGGTTTTCAGGTTGTCCGATATTACCCATCCAAACTGGCAGTTTGTGTGTGTCCGGTGGAAAAGTGTCATGCTTTGCACTTTGCATTGCCAAAAGAGGCCTGCTCATGTGCTTAGAACGCAACTCCCACCCCAAACCCCCACCCCCCTCAGAAACCATGAGCAGCATGTTGAAAGGATGGGCGCACAACACACCTCAAGTATGCAACTCCCCGTGTAAAGGGAAATGGATCCTGTGACCTAAAGTTGCTTGCCCGGGATTCGCCACTCCCATCCCGTCTGCAAATTCCACATGGCCAAATGTCCGAAACCAGGCACAAGGAATTGGCAAAGACATCATAGTAAGTTCCTGGACCCTCAAACTACCCATAAAGAAGGGAAATCACCCCCATATGTGTGTGGGCCAATAACACATTTTTATGGGTAGTTTGAGGGTTCATGCTAGCCCCTGAATTGGTGGAACCATAGCATGAACCGCCGCCGTATCCCATCCGCTCCGAAACAGCTGATCCGAACAAATTGTATGCTTGCAGGTGCCATAGGAGGGAATGGATGTAGGATCCCAACGCCTGAAGTGCTCCTGTAAAGAATACGTTTTCTTTGAGGTATACCGTAGACCCCCTGATTTGTTGGTTGGTTTTAAGAGAGACCATAAGGAAACCTAGTGTTTTTTTTTTGGGGGGGGACGATATCCAATTTGTGTGTGTTTGTTTCTTAGGGGACGCCCCTCCCCCAAGAAAAAACAAAACAAAAAGGATACCCCACCAACTGCGCACGCCTGATTCGGCACAAACCCAACTCGCCCCTCACTCCGCTCGCCAAAGGCCTCTGCACGGTGCTTGCCTGCCCCAGCGCCGCAGCCTGCAGGAGCCGCTCCGCCAGCAGCGTGCGGTGCTCGGGGTGCCTGGCGCATCGATGGGTTCCTGGGCCCCAGAAGCTCTCCCTCAGCACCTCGGATGTCTTGTGGCAACAGGACCGTGTAAGGGGGCGGGCATGTAACAGGGTGTCCGAGCCATGTCCCTTTCTGGAAGCTCCCAAAGCGGCAGATTCAAGGGAAACCAACGAAGGGGTCGTCTGGTCAGCTTCCCTCGTTTGTTTTTGTTGGTGGTTTGGGCATGGTGGGCTAATTGGTAGTGTGGGAGTGGTTCCCATTTACCCTGGACTTGAACCGCCAGATACGGGTTACCTGATCTGAGGGCCTTAGGTCCCTGGACCTGGTTTCACGGCAAACATGTTTTGAACCTCGACAAGTTGGGCGATTCGGTCACACCAAAGACCAGCCGCAGAGAGGGTCTCCATGTCTCAGAACACAACAAAAGCATCTGGGAGGGAGGGACCCCCCCCCCGTTGTGGGGATCCCCACCTGTTTTCTGAAAGGATACACCTCTTGCGGAAGATGCTCCGTTCTTTGGAAGGAAGAAAACACCTTGCCCCCTAATAATACCCCTCCCCCTCCCCAACCCAAAAACAAAAATGTGGGGGTTTATTATTGGGGTCCCGAGGTTTTGAGCCAGAACTGTTGGTGACTGCGTTGTTCAGTAAACGGCGAAGGGGAACCCCTTTGCTTTGCAGATAAAGTGTTCAACATGCAATTTCTGAGTAAGAACTTTGAAAGGGAAGGCGCCCTTGTTATGTTTCCAAAAAGAAAACTAAACCTTGATTTGTTAATTCTCAAAAAGATACCTGCTGAAGCGAACCCAACGACTAAAACTCTTGTCACGCAAAGCAACCCTTTGGTTGGAGGAACAAAGCGCTCAGAATAATCACAACTTCTCAGTCAGACGTTTGGGTGACTCCTAGTAATTATATCTGCAGAGTGTCGCGTGGATCTGGGTTCGGGAGAGTTGGCTATTGGTTTAGTATTGGGTAATTTAGAGAATAAGTATTGGCAATTTTGGGGGTCGGCTGGGGGGTTGTTATTACGGGAAGGTTTATCAATAGGAGGAAAGGGTTACCACTGCTTTTGGGGGATGTCGTTTTTTTTTTTTTGAGGAGTCTTCCTATTTTTTTGGAAACGGCCCAGTTTTTTTGGGGATACCTCCGCTTTTTAGGAGGGTACCCGGGTACCCGCAAGGTCCGCCTCCCTACAAAGCTGAATGAAGGTACCTGGCAAGGCACCAACCAGGCTGTCAGCTATGTCGACTTCGGAATCCGGCGGAACGTGCTGTGCGCAGAGGTGGTTCCCCTTATAGAAATGGCATGATATGGTTCAGTGTCAGGCTCATCTGATAAAAGGAGTTTTGAATCCAAAGCTAACATTCCCTAAGACTCCATGTGTGTGTGTGTGTGATATTTACCCACCTTTGGAACCTTCGGGATTTGTGGAAGGCAACCGCTGTCAGCTCGCCAACTGCAATAATTCATTCTTGTGCAACGGGCCGGCTCCGCATCGTGGCTTCATCAAGGCCTCGAGCGCGCTTCGAACCAAACACACACACAGCAGGCCAGTTGCTACCCGGGAAAATGACCGGTACTTAGATTCCTACGCTTGCTCAAATTTGCTCAATCTATTGGAACCCGCTCAAGCATTGCTTTGCTGCGTTCCCCTGCGTTCATAACTCCCCTTGAGAAAAACATGAGCAGAAAGCAAACCCGCCCCAACTCCGCCCCCCACCCCAACTCCCCCCCACCCCAACTGCGCCCCAACCCCGCCGAACCTCCAGCCCACGCGCCAAAAGCCCCCAAGCGCCACTTCGCCTCTCCGGGCCGCCCGGCGCAAAGGCGCCAGAGGAACCACCGGCGCCACCACCGGCGCCACCACCGGCGAGGAGGGCGTGGGCTTCAGCCTGGGCCCAAGGTATCGGACCGAACCGCTGAGGTCCAAGCGCAACGACTCCAAGGCTACCTAGACCCTCAAACTATCTTTAAACAAGGGACACCACCCAAATGCTGGAACCAATATCATATTTCTAGGCTACCAGGAGCCTCAAAAACCGATGAAAATGTCATACCTACAAAAAACACGATGTTTTTTGGGAAAACACGATGTTTTCGGAAAACACCGCATTTTCGATTTCAAGCAGTTTCCCATACATTCCTTCAACTCGTCATCCGTTCTCAGAAGATCTCAAAAGCATCATCTCAACCTCAGAATCTCCCATCGCCCTCCCCTTTTGCACTCGCAACGAAATCAGCTTCGCATTCGCCACTCGTCTTTCGCAACTCCAACCTGAAAGAAGGAGGCCGGGGACCCAAATAGTCAAAAGTACCACGGTTTTATGACACTTGTCAAGCAGCAGTGCCATGATGAGGGCGTGCTGGCTTCGAACAGCGCGCAAGCTCAAGCAAAGACCGTGCTTTTGCTCACGACTTCGTTGTTTTCCAGCAACATTCTCGAATTAGCGCATTCGTGGTTGAACCCGAAAAACCCATAGAATTTCCACGCTTTGCCACGCTTTACTACGGGTTCTCCACGGTTTAGCTACGGGTTAGAAAACACGATGTTTTCCAAAAACACGATGTTTTCGGTTGGGGCTGCGGGCTTTCTACGGGTTTCTACGGGTTTTCTATGGGTTTCTACGGGTTTTCTGCGGGTTTCTGCGGTTAGCCGCCAGGATCCCGCCCCATTTGCTAAAAAAAACTCAAAATTGATAAAAACAATCTCAAAAGTGTCACCTGGTCTTGTTTTGCACCAAAAGGAGCTTTCGGATTCCAGCACCCCCTTCAAACTGGTTCGGTATGACCTGGCGCCAGTCTTCAGGTGCCTGTTGCTGTGAAAGGTACTTCAAGACTGAAGCCAGCTGCACACCCTGGCTGTCAGGCTCATCAATGTGGTCCTTAGAATTTGAAGCATACTCAGTATAGAGCGTTGCCCTCAGTTGAAATCTTAATGGGTGATGTCTGTGTGAATCCACTCCCGACCCTTGCCTTTGACCCTTTGCTCCAAATGAGCGTTTGGCCTCAGAAGCCAATTTTTAAGGGGTTTTATCAAAAACACGATGTTTTTCCTGAAAACACGATGTTTTCAGAAAATCGAGAAAAAACACGATGTTTTAGTCAGGGTACGACATTTTTACAGGTTCTTGAAGCCCTAGGTAGTTTGAGGGTACAGGAAACGAGTCGTCCAAAACCTGCCCCGGCTGCCATGGTTGCTGGCCGCCCCCACTTCCAACGCCCAAACCACCCAAAAAGCCGGGATGGGCGGATTCACCTGTTACTGTTGGGGTCAGAAAAGAGACACCTTGTTGTTGCCAATTCCAAGTGGGAGTTGTTCAGGTGGGATGTTGAAGTGGAGACAGTGGAGCATAGTTTGGATGGTCTCGCTAATTGGTGAACCCTAGTTGCGGGGAACAAAGCCATGCATACTTTGGTTTGACTTTGAGTTACTCTCTTTGTTTCCTTGGAAATGCTCAGCACAAGCACTGACAAAGCCAGCTCTGACCCCGATAGCAAGAGAGCCATTGGGTGTGACAAAAAGGTAATGGTTGACAACCCCGCGCAACAGCCAAAATGTTGTTTCACCCCCACCCCCTTCTCTACTTGAAGTTTTGAACGCCACCGAGTTGCTCCAAAGAACCTGGAACTTCCGGAGTGGACAATCACCACGGAAGCCAAGGGAAGCACAGGCATATTGTCTCCTCTTCAGAGCCACCTCGCAAGGGGAGCAGCAGCCTAGTGCCGGCCAAGCCATCGAGGGTGACCTTCCCACAGCTGCGAGTGGGCTCAGAATCTTGGGCATCTTTTGGAATCTCAAATCGAGCAGCCCTGCAGTAGCCCCGCCAAGGGACATGTGCAAAGAAAACCACAAACACCAACCTGAGCCCTCCGCAAGCATAAGCCACACTGTCAGACTAAATCGATTCCCCAAGAGGATGCTGGACAAATTTAGTGACTCGCTTGCGCTTTTGCGGCAAATTTAGAGAGGCCCTCATGGAGCGATTGGTCACGGTCACGGGGGGTCCATAGATTGCTGTCGGCGAATGTAGTGACTCCACAGCCTTGATTTCGCTCTTTGCCGTCAGCAGCCACACTGGCATAGTGCTGACAGGTCGCCAGTCAGCATCCTGGATCCTGATGCGATCCGCAACACCAAGCCGGTTCAATGCGACGTCCCGATGATCGACAACATGAGCAGTGTCCTGCCCAAAATAGATCTGTCATGATCTCGTATCGGCCATCAACCCATCCGCCCACGTCAGGTGTAAAACCATATTCCCTGGCTTCAATCCACGGGGAATAGCTGCGCCTCTTTCAGGAACTCTGCACCCTCGACCAAACGGCCTTCGTAGGCTACTCAACGGCGGGCAGAGGCGCCTCCAACGTCTCCACTGGTTCCGCTGGCGCCTCCTTTGCGTCTTTCCCGCAACCAGCCGCTGATCAATCCCTGTGGAAACAAGAGGCTGGGCCACTCCTTCGCAAAGAGGAGCCCCGGATAGAAACAGCAGTGGAAGCTCCTGGATGGGGCCAAATAAGGTCCCTCCCACATGGACCATAGACTACTGGCCTTTGGCTTCCTTCTTGGAACGTTGGTGTCATGGTGCTCCGCATTCAAAGTTCATAAGCATCACTTTGTGCCCTGGTCAAAACTCTTTAATGCCAGGTCTGGATTCATCAAGGCGGATGAACAGGGGGGTGCCCCTCCCAAAAGTGACCAGGCTCCCTTCCAAAATGGGTTATATAGTCCCCCCAACCAGGCCTTAATTCAACCTCGGTTCCCGTAACCCTTGGTTGGTCGACACTGCTTCTGAATTGGTGCTTATCCTTGTGGTTGTTCTTTTTCGGCGGGAACATCACCCATCTGCCCAACTGGGACACGTACAAACTTCAGCTGCATATTTACTCAACTTCTGCGGCCCCGGGCAAGTACGCCTTGTCGGACACCGAAGGCTCTGGCAGAGGCGCTCAAGTGGTTGGGACCCCAAAACCACGGCTGCGTCTTAAAACGAGTCAGCTCCCCCAAAAATGGTGGGTGTTCCCGTTGGCTTTCCCTTTCAGAAGCAACCCCTCCAAAAAACGATAGCCGCCAGAAGCAAATTTGAAAAAAATAGAAGGTGCGCCGCGCCTTTCCGGCTTGCGACTGTCCACCTTCACTTCCCCGGTTCTGATTGTGGCCGTGTGAGTTCCGTTTGGTACCTGTGTTTTCTTTCCAGGAACTGGCCCCGCCAATCCGCGATGCTGAAGCACATGCAAAACGAAGGCGGCTGAATGAGGCAGAGTTCCCCAACATGTTGCCCTTAAACATCACCCCACCAGGAAGCCAGCTTTCAAGTGTCCTTGCTTAGAAAGGTTCACCGCTGCACAAACAAATCGCCAGCTTCCCCTAAACTCGATCCGGTTCAATCTAGGCAAAAGAAGAAGAGAGACCCAGAAAACCAGCCGCTGGCTTGGTTGGTTGCCACCCGCCTGCGAGGAACTTGGGCGCGCTCTCCGAACCTTGGAGCTCTCGGCCAAAGACCGGCGGATTTGACCCCAAGTCATACTGAGGATGGTTGCGAAATCCAATTCGTACCTAAGACACCCTGTCTGATGATTCCCCTGTAAATACCCACCAACGTTATGGTTTTAGCCAGGGATTTCAAGTGGTGCGAAACGGGTTTTGTCCATCCACACTATTACGATGTCATGTAAAACCTAAAACAAACGCTGCAGCAACCAATGTTGAGCCTTCGAGGTAATTAGGTGTCAACTGAATATTGCATCCCTGGCTCATGTGTCAAAAACAGGGGCACTGCTTGTCACAACTGGGTCCAAAGTGAGGATGCTGGGATTCTCCGAATTGCTGGAGATTCGTCAAATCTAGGGTAAAAAATGATCTACAAGGAGCCTCTAAAATTGAATATGTAAAAACCAATAAAATGTTGTGGCGACATGCCTGAGGTGCCGCTGTGAGCACAGGTCGGGGTCAAACTCCATACCCTCTCCCTCAGCCGCGCACTGAGGCGTGCAAACATGGGAGGGGCATACACGATGTATAGTTTGTCCCTTGCAAATGCACTTCCTGGATTGGCCGAAAAAAAAAAAAAAAAAAGAAGCTGGAACTGGTTATTTGCCACACAGGTCCAAACCCAAAGAGTGACTGAAGTTCATGAGCCCAGGGAGTGAGCAACGACAAGCCCCAGTTTCTTTTTGCCCCTTTTAGTTTGAGCATTTGCCTGCTGGTTGGCTCGGGGTAGAAACCTGCGGTCTGGGCGCCCAGAGCATTCTTTGCCAACGGCTCGGAGAAGCCCGAAACCAACCAACTTGGGAGTGTTTCTAGTATTTGAGGCTCCCCTTCTTGTGAGGAATTTACTGGCAAAGGGAAACCACTGGGAAACCAAAGGGGGAAACCCCGAAAAAACAACGGGAAACCGTACGAAAACACTAATTGTGTGGGTCCCCTGGTTCAAAGACACACACATACCATGTACCGAGTCCCCAGCCCAGCTGGCGCTGCAGCGCCTGAAATTGCTTGCCCGTTAAGGCGCTGCCTTTTGGACACCCCAAACCAAAGGCGTCCATTTGCCTATCTGAGCCCCCTGGAAACAAATGAGAACATATGTCTAGTAGTGATAGAGTGCCTTTAAATCCAACAAGGGGAAAGAAACCACAACTTTCTTGAGCAAATGGAGGGGTTCTAAACAAAACCTGGCGAAGATCCGAAGCTCAAACTATCAGGGAACCCCTGTCTTTCTTGGAGGGTGCCAAGGGAAACCCAGGGTGACTGTTGGAGGCCAGTACGCCCATGGTCCCTCAAACCGCCTTGAACCAAATGAGTGGGAAATCACCCCATGGATCACCATCTATTTCTGAAAGGTTCAGTGAGTGTCAAGGGTGCCCTTTACAAGCAACCTTCGATAGTCACATGGTCGTGCTGAACCATGGTTTAGCATGTGGCTAAGAGCAAAGGGAAGCTTGAAGCGCGCCTTGCATTCTATTACAGGACTCCCTATATTTCCCTCAACAGCACCCCACTTCATTCAAGTAACGTCATAGGAACACAACCCCAAAGGTGATCTTCAAAGCCACCCAAAAGGCGAGTGTATGGCTGCGAATTGTGACACTTGGAACCACCAACCACAAGTGGTTGCTGGACAAATTCATCCATTCCCACCACTTCGAAATGGTCCTTTTGGACCGATTGAAAATTCACACCCAATAATTATGTGGGTGTGTCTTCCCAAAATGGTGGTTTGCCTTTCGGGTTCCCTCAAAAAAACAACAACTGAGTGCATTCAAACAAGACACACCCTTCTGAAGCGATAGCAACTGGGAACTGACCGTGTCGAAGTGCGCACCTGGATTGCTTCGCTGTTGGCCTGGATGTGGCCCTCCAGCACGGACGCCTCGACTCGAACCGGGACCCGACCTCCTGAAATCTATTAGTTTGGCGAAAGTTCGAAAAGGACGCAGAACGAAATCAGCCTTGAACTGTGCGTTCTACCAACATTCATAGTGCCCATGGACTGCTTCTTCTGACCACAATGAGATGTGCCCCCGTTTTGTTCTACCAACGACATTTTTGGGTTCCGTTTTGACACGGTCAGCGTGAAATCCACCATGAGTTCACCAAAGGGGGTTGACAAAGCAAACTCTTCGGGAAGCAAACCACGAAATCGTGGGTCACACATCATAGGGTCCACGCAAATGATGTCCGCTCCTTCCGCTTCAGCCCGCCCCCTTCCCCCCACCCCTCCCCCTGTTTCCGCAAAAAAAGACTCCCTAAGGAACTATGAAGGCCTGGAGGATATCATTTGCTTGGGGGATTGATCTTTACCAACCACCTTTTTCAGTGGTTTCCTAATTTGACATTTCAACTGGCCACTTGGCCGCCTCTATTTAGTTGTGAAGTGGGCAAGCCCAGTACTCCCAGCTTGGAAGGCTTGCAACCCCCTTGGGCTATGACACAATCAGGGACCCTATGGTGCTGTTTCCTAGTGTCTCCTTAAAACCAACCCCAAAAAGGGTACCCTCAACAAAACACACCCACTTCCCCAAGCACTTGGCAGCCGAAAAGAGGTCCGGGCGTAGTCACGGAGCTGTGCCTTTGAAGTACCCGCGCCTCGGCATGGCCGAAACATGGGGGTTCTCTTCTCGGATGGGGGTGGGTGGGTGGGTGGGTGGGTGGGTGGGTGGGTGGGTGGGTGGGTGGGTGGGTGGGTGGGTGGGTGGGTGGGTGGGTGGGTGGGTGGGTGGGTGGGTGGGTGGGTGGGTGGGTGGGTGGGTGGGTGGGTGGGTGGGTGGGTGGGTGGGTGGGTGGGTGGGTGGGTGGGTGGGTGGGTGGGTGGGTGGGTGGGTGGGGGCGCAGGGGGGGTCCCGGAAAAATTGAGAAAAAACATGTTTGGTTACGCTAGAAACAGACTTTTAAGTTTATAGAGTTCATCCAAGTACTACCTGCTGTACAAGGATTCGGATCCTCTAAACCAGCCGGTAAGGGAGATTTTGGAACTTCTCAAATGTATCATCCTTCAGCAGACCCTGCTAAAGGACATGGGAATATTGCGGGGTCTTACTGGGGTTGACACCCATGGATCAATCCTAAAATAGTCCTTGGCCTAGTTACAAGCTCCCATCCCCCAAGGATTCTTGGTTCCTCGGTTTTGCTTGCTGATAGTTCAAGTTTTAGAGGGATGCCAATCCGCTATCTAAACACGGCTATGCCACCATGCGAATCATCAATGGGCACCTCCTTTCGTGGGATGTGTCAGAAATCAGCCTCTAAACCTTTCCACCTGGGTATGGTAGCTTAAAAAACTGTATTCTTACAGCCCCCACTAAAAACGGACAGAACCAACAAGCAAATAAACACCTGCCGACAACAGTGAAGATATCCCAAGCTCCAAACCTGGGTCCCGCACGAGCCAGGAAAGCCCAGCGCTGGGTGACCGGGGCCGTCTGAAGCGCACGCTGAGGGCCGTCCCGATTCCAGGGGGCTTAAGGAAGTAAGTGGTACGGGGTCAGGGCTTCGTAACCCACAAAGGAACGCATTTAAGTGGTAGTAAGTGGCAGCAAGTGCTAGTAAGTGCTAGTAAGTGGCAGGAACTTGCAATATGTAATAAGTTGCAGTAAGTGGTAAGTAGATTCAAAAGTGGTGTAGAAAGGTTTTTGGCAAGAAGTAGCCGCTCGGTAGTAAGGCGCAATTGCGCAATAAGTGGCTCAGCAACCCAGGCTCCAAATGAACGGGTTTCAACAAACTGCATGAGCGGAACCTCATGGAACCTCCATAGGTTCTGAGTGGACCCCTTTATTGGCTTCAATTGGGTGATGTGATTTGAGTTGGGGATAGACATCACAACCAAAATGGAACTCACTTGAGAGTTCTCAAGAGAATGTTGCTAATTACAAATAAAGGGTGCCTGAGGGGAACGTGAAAGGGGACTCACTTTCAGGTTTCAATTTGCAACCAAACTATGATCCCAACCTATGCACATCTGTAGACATCACTCGCCAATTGCTACTATGCTCCGCAAGGTTGCTTGGCTTCTGAGAGGAGCATCCCGGCAATGTGGTACTCAATTAACTATTTTTCGGTCTTTCCTGATATAGGGTTCGAATTCTATCAGTGGGTTTCCTTTGACCATCTAAATGATCTCTCGAATTGACACCCTTCCGGCTCTCAGGCAGTCCGCAATCCTTTGGCGACAGGATCTAACCCGGAAACGGCGCCTCGGTCTCCATAGGCCCTTAAGGATCCCCAGACCCCCAAGCAAGCTTAGGCCCAAGGCAAAAAACGCGGGGTCCCTTGCTTACCTCCCATGCTTGCTGCTAAACGGGTTGTAAAACTCCTTGGTATCTCAGAAAGTGGTAGCGAAACAACAACTGCCCACAACCATGTTTTCGAGAGGCAGGTGGGACTATTGCAGCCCCAATAATGTCCAATCGGGATTAGTAAAGGGGGGTCCCCCCCGTGCAGTGGACACTCCTGCGCCATTTTACGGCTAACATTCCCGTGTAAAGAGCGAAGCCGCGACTACGGCGGGCCCTGCCGCGACTACGGCGGGCCCTGCGGGCGCGGCGGGCGCGGCGGGCGCGACGGGCGCGGCGGGGCGCGCGCGGCGGGGCGCGGCGGGCGCGGCTGCGGGGCGCGGTTGGGCCGAGGGCGCGGCGGGCGCGGTGGGTGGGGCGGTCGCGGGCGGCGCTTCGGGGCGCGATGTGCGCGGCGGATGTGCGGCGGGCCCTTGGGTGAGGCAGGCGCTGTGGGCGCTGGCGGGCGCGGGCACGGCGAGAAGAGGGGGGCGCGGCGGGCGGGGGCGGCCGGGGGCGGGCGGGCGGGCGCGTGTGTCTTGAGCGCGGCGTTGAAGCGCGGCTAAGGCGCGGCGGGGCACGGCGGCGCGGCGGCGGGGCGTCGGGGCGCGGTGGGGCGCTGTGGGGGCGCGGCGGGCTGCGGGGGCGTGGAGGGGTCGCGGCGGGCGGGCGGTCGCGTGCGGGGTGCGCGGCGTGGGCTGCGGCGCGCGCGGCGGCAGGGGCGCGGGCGCGTGGGGCGCGGTGGGTGCGGCGGACGCGGGCACGGGCACGGTGGTCGGGGCGGGCGGCAGGCGCGGGCGCGGGCGCGGTGGGTGCGGCAGGGCGGCGTGTGCGGACGGGTGGGGGGGTGGGGCCAGGGGCGCGGCGCGGCCGGGCCCGGCGGCGCGGGCGCGGGCGAGCGGGGCGGGGCGGGCGCGGTGGGTGCGGCGGACGCGGGCGCGGGGCGCGATGAGTGGTGCGCGGCGGGCTTGTTGGGCGCGGGGCGTGGTCGGTGCGGCAGGCGCTGTGGGGGCGAGGCGGTGGGGGCGGCGTTGGGCGGCGTGCACGGGGGCGGCGGGCGCTGTTGAGCGCGGCGAGCGCGGCGGAGCGTGAGCGTTTTGTTTTTTTAGGGGTGTATGAGCGCGGCAAGCGCGGGGCGCGGGGGCTCGGGCTGGTCGCGGCTGGGCGCCGTGGGCGCGGGTGGGCGCGGTGGGGCGCGGTGGCCGCGGCGAGCGGTCGCTTGCGGGCTCGGAGCGCGCGGGCGCGGTGGGTCGCGGCGGACGCGGGCGCGGGCGCGGGGGCGCTGGGGCGCGGGCGCGGTGGGTGCGGCAGGGCGGGGGCGGCGGGGGCGGGCTGGATGCGCGGGTGCGCGAGGGCGCGACGGGGCGGGATGGGCGGGCGAGCCGGGGCTGCGGTCGGGCGGCGGCGATGCGCGTGTGGGCGCGGCGGGCGCTGAGGCGCGGCGTTTGGTATTGGGGGCGCGGCAGGGGCGCGCGGGGCGGCGCGGGCGCGGTGGGGGCGCGGCGGGCGCGGCGGGGCGTGGAGCGCGGTGGGCGCGGCAAGCGGGCATGCCAGCGCGGCCACTGGAAGCGCGGGCCAGCGCGCGGGCTTGCGGGCGCGGCAGCGGCGGGGCTTGGTCGTGGCTTAGGGAGCTGGCCGCTGCGGGCGGTGTGTGTGCGAGGGTAGGGCGCGGGCGCGGGGTCGGCGCGGCGGACGGGCGCGGGTTCGGCGGCGGCGCGGCGGGCTTTGTGGGCCCGGTGGTGGGGCCGGGCGCGCGGGTGCGCAGCGGCGAGCGCGGAGCGAGCGCAGCGGAGGGCGCGCCCGGCCCATCGCCCGCCGCCGGGCGCGGCGGGCAGGTTCGGCGCGGGCGCGGCAGGCGCGGCGGGCGCGGCGGGGGCGGGCGGGGCACTGGCGCGGCGAGCACTGGGCGCGGCGGCGGGGCGCGGCGGCGCGGCGCTGAGCGCGGCGAGGCGGCGGGCGGGCGGGATGGCTTGAGCGCGGCAGTGATTGCGGGCGGCGGGCGCGGCGGGCCATGGCGTTGGTTTTGAGCGAGCGCGGCGGGCGGCTGCGGTGGGCGCGGGGCGCGCGCGTGGGCGCGGCGGGCGCGGGGGCGGGGGGGCGGGCGCTCGATGCGCGCGCTAAGGTTAGCGCGGGGGCGCGGCGGGCGTGCGGCGAGCGGGCCTGGGGCGTGGGGGGGGCGCCTGCGCGGGGTCGCGGCGGGCGCGGCACGGGCGCGGCGGCTGAGCGCGGCGGGTGGGAGCGCGGGGGGGCGCGGGCGTGGAGCGCGCGCGGCTTGAGGCGGGCATGAGCGCGTGAGGCGGCTGCGCGGCGTGTGTGGTGCGCGGTTTTTGGGCGGGACCGTGGGCGCGGCGCGGTGTTGAGCGCGGCGGGCGGGCGGGCGGTGGGCGGGTGTGGTGAGCGCGGCGGGCGCGGCGGGCGCGGGGCGGGTGCGGCGGGGGCGCGGAGGGCGCGCGAGCGGGCGCGGGGGCGCGGCGGGCGCAGCGGGCGCGGCTGGGGCGGCGACGGGCAGCGGCGGGGTTTGCGGCGAGCGCTGGCGGGCGGCGCGGGCGCCGGCGCAGGGCGGTGGGCGCGGCGGCGTGCGGGCGCGGGCGCGCGCGGCGCGTGGGCGCGGGACTCGGGGGTGCGGCGGCGCGGGGCGTGGGATGCGCGGCAGGGCCGGGCGGGGGCGCGGACGCGTGGGGCGATGGCCGGCAGGCGCGGGCGCGGGGGCCGCGTGCGGGTGCGCGCGGCATGGGGGCGCGGCGGGAGCGCAGTGTGGCGGGCAGGGGCTGCACGCGGGGGAGGCCGGGCGCGATGGGCGCTGCTTGGTGCGCGGGCGAGCGCGGGCGGCATTCGGGCGGCGGGCGGTGGCTGGGCGCGGCTGGGGGGGCGCGGCGGGGCGCAGGCGCGGCGGGGTCTGGCGGGGCGTGGCACTGGCGGGCGCGCTGCGGGCGCGGCGGGCGCGGATGGGCGCGGGTGCGTGTGGCGGGCGCGGCGGGCGTGGCGCGGGCGCGCGGCATAAGCGCGGCGGGCGCGGCGGAAGGGTTGGTGGGACTTGCCCCCGCGGGCTCGCGGCAAGCGCGGCTTTATGGGGCGCGGCGGGTACGGCTGGGGCGCGGGAGCAGCGGGCCCGGCGGGGCGCGGCGCATTTTTTTGTAGAGGCCGCGGCGGGCGCGGCTTAGCAAGCTGCGCGGCGGTGGGGGCGCGACGACTGGGCTGCGGCTATGGGCGCTGGTGGGCTCGGCTGGGCCGGCGTGGCGCGTGGCGGAGCGTGGCGAGCGCGGCTAGGCGCATGCGGGGCGCGGGCGCGCGGTGCGCGGGGCGCGGTTTTTGCAGCAGGGCTGGAGGGCACGGGCGCGGCTTGGGCGCTGCGGCGTTCGCGCGGGCACGATGGGCACGGGCGGCACGGGGGGCGCGGCGCGGCGCGCTGGGCGCGTGGTGGGGCGCAGGCCGACGGGGAGCGCACGCGAGGGTCGGCGGGCGCGGCGGAGCGCGGCGGGGCGCGGCGGGCGCGGCGGGCGCGGCGAGCACGGCGGGCGCGGCGGGCCTTCTCGTATTTGCCATACTGGCACTCTGCAGTCTTGTGCCCAGTGGCCAGGCTTGCCACATCGATGGCATGTTGTGTAGTTGTTGTTTCCTTTTCCTTTTGGTTTGCTATAGTTTCCTTGGCCTTTGTAGCCTTTGCTTGATCCATATCCTTTGGATCCTGAGTAGCCTTTTCCTTTGCTCTTGTTGTATCCTCCTTTGTTGTAGTTTCCTTTGCTGCCTTTGTCGAACACTTTGTAGTGGCCTTTGTTTCTGTACTTGCCTTTTCCTTTGTTTCCTTTGTAGGATCCTTTGCCTCCATATTTGCTTTTGCCTTTGTAGTTTCTTCCTTTCCTCCAAATGTTGTTCACGTCCATGGGTGCTGTTCCACCATTGTAGTTTGTGCCAACCGCTGAGCTCGCTCTTGAGAATGCAGATATGGTCTTGTAGTAGTCCAGGATGACAACTCTGATCTCGTTGTAGTTCGTGATCTGTCCAGCACGTAGTTGGAGATGTTGTTGAAGTGCTCCTTTGGTCTTGTTGAGTAGTATTGCAATCTTCACTCCATCTGGTAGTGCTGTGCCGTTGTCTTTCTCGTAGCGGTTGATGTCATACTCCCACTGTAGGAATTGTTCTTCAAATTGTGCTTCATTGAATGTAGGTTCCAGTAGTTTGGTGAGGTAGCCAACACTGCGTGTTCCTACTGGTAGGCTGAACCTGTTGTGCAAAAGCCGTAGTGTTTCACATCCATTGGCATTGTAGCGGTTTTGTCTGACCACTGTAGCTGCTGCACCTTGGCAGATGTTGATGAGGATGTAGTGTAGATCTCGTGAGAGGTCTACTGCTTTTGCTGCCTGTGTAGGGTCGCGTATGTGGGCTCTGATGTCTGCATCTTGAATTTGTCTTGTAGCTGCTTGTGCTAGTTGTAGTACCATGTCGAAGTCTCGGTCGATGAGTCCGAGGTATGCTTGTAGTTTGCACAGCCACTCTTCGTACTGTGAGTAGTCACCAGTGAAGAACGGTGGTGGCAGTTTGTATTTGTGTAGCCTTTGGACGTCTTCCTGCTCCTGTGTTGTTCCCGTAGTTGTGGCTCCTATTGTCTCCTCTGCTGTGGGCCCGTTGTCTGCTCCTGTAGTTGGTTGTGCTGATGCTGCTGCTGGTTCTCCTGACATGTCGTAGTAGTTGGGCATGTGGTTGCCTGTGCAGTTGTAGTACTTATTGCTGTTTCTGGAGCTCCCCTATGTTTAGAATCTCAGCTCCGCTACCACGTTAAAATACGTCGTTACTTTACTACAAGTGCAAGTGTTGTTTATGCTGTCACAAACACAAATGTAGTTTCCCAGCATGCGCTCTTTTGCTTGTAGACTCAAGGCCTGCGGTCGAGTAGTGTACATCATGCATGTACAAGGGACAAGTAGTACAGCATGATATTTGACAGAAGAGAGAGAGAGAGAGAGAGAGAGAGAGAGAGAGAGAGAGAGAGAGAGAGAGAGAGAGATCGATAGATAGATTAAGAGAAAGCTAGAATGACAGGTGGAGAGATAGATATGTAGGAGACAGATAATAAGTAGATAGTTAGAGAGATCGAAAGAATAAGAAAGAATGAAAGAAAAGAAAAAAAGAACAACACAGAAAAGGAAGCAAAGGAAAGGAAATAAAAGGAAAGGAAAGAGAAGGAAAGGAGAGGAAAGGAAGAAAGGAAAGGAAGGAAGAAGGAAGGAAGGAAGGAAGGAAGCAAGAAAGAAAGAACGAAATGAGAAAAACAAACAAAAGAGAAAGCAAGAAAGATGGAAAGAACATACACCATTAAAAGAAGGAAAGAAATACGTAAGAAGAAAAAAACAAAATAAGAAAAGAAAGATAAAGACAACTATCGTTTATATATTTGAAAATTCCCCCCGGCTCTGCCGGACCTTACTGGTAAGTGCGCTTCACCAGGGTCGGGGAAGCGCGCGTGTGTAGCGGACTGCACTTCGCGCCGGCAGAAGGCACGTGCAGCACTTTCGCAAGGTCAGGTAAGATAGCGAGGGCAACAGATTCGCTTCACAGGCAGACAGCTTCACAGATAGGTAGCTTGACAGATAGACAGCTTGACAGGTAGCTGGTAGCTTGACAGATAGATGGACAGACAGGTAGCTTTTGCCATCGTTGCTGGCTGGCACGCAGCGGGGTCGGTGCTGCCGCCAGAGTCGGGGAGGCGCACATGCGTAGCGGGGTGTGCTTCGCGCCGGCGGGGCAACACAGAGTTGTGAAGTGTTGGATCAGACGTTGGCTGGTGGACAGCGAGGTCGGTGCTGCCACCAGGGTCGGGGAAGTGCGCGTGTGTAGCGGGGTGCACTTCGCGCCGGCAGAAGGCACGCGCAGCATTTTCCCGAGGTCAGGCAAGATAGCGAGAGAAACAGTTAGCTTCAGAGACAGACAGCTTGACAGATAGATAACAAAACCAATAAATATCTGGACAGGTAGCTGGTAGCTTGACAGACAGACAGCTGAACAGACAGGCAGCTTCAGGCAGAGACTTCCACAGGTAGCTTGCTTGACAGATAGATGGCCCAACAGATGAGACAGCCTGATTAACAGATGATAGCGCAACACAAATGCGCAAGCGCAAGTGAAGTGGGACAAGCAAGCAGAAGGTTTCCATGACAATTTCAATGAGGCCCAGTGGGTTCGCCAAAGCAAAAGCAAGCGCCCCTATTGCCTAAGGCTCTGCCGGCTTTACTCGTATCATGATCTCGCACGATTGTTGCCAGGGGCTGGCGCTCAGCGATTGAGTGACTTGCGGTTTAGGAACGATCTCTGCGTAAGTTGCGGCTCAAGGAAGCACGCCTGGAGTCATGGAGGCGCAGGAGGACGCGCCGCTGCAAGCCTGGCTGCGCCTGTACTCGGCTCGCCGGCTGGCAGCGCTGGAAGACCCTCAGGTGCTGGCTCGCAGCTTTGCTGAGTTGGAGACAGCGCCGGCTTCGCAGGTGGGAGTCGTCCGAAAGGTCCTTGCATTCAGGAAATTAGGAAGGGGAAGACCTTTTTTGTCGTATTACTGCCATCCGCGAAAGCTTCGCGAAAGTTGCCATTTTTCTTTCGAAAGTTTTGCCTATTTGCCTAAGGGCAGTTTGCTAAAAGGAAGATAATGATGAGCTATATGCATTTGCCGTCAGTTTGCGCAGAATGCGCAAAGCTAGTCGGAGGAAAGCGCGGCCAGAGGATTGCCGCCAAAAAATGCAGGAAACCCTCAGCGCCATGGGTGGCCAACGGGTTCCCTCCTGTGCTGCTGCACGGCTTTCGAGCTGGGGCTGCGGAAGTGCACTTCGCGTACTACTTTGGAACTGAAAAGTTGCGACTTTCGAGCTGGGGCGCCATAAATTTACTTTGTACAACTTTCGTTCTGAACAGTTGGCACTTCCAAGCCTCACTGCGGAATTGTACTCGTGATGAAGGCCGCGAAAGTTACTTTTTTGTTCCGCGAAGATTGCGTTTCCGGGGGAAGGAGTTATTTTCAGACAGCCGCCAGGCTCGCGTGCCGAACAGCACAGCTGCGCAGCCTCTTCCTTCTGGCGCCCTTGCCAGTAGCTCCAGAGGAGGGCTGCGCAACTTGGACGAGATCTTGGAGACATGGGCTCCTGCTGGCTTTGAGTGTGGTCCTCAAGCGAGCGTAAGCGAGCTGGCCTTCACCAAAGATGTAGCTAGGCGCGCCAGGACAATGGCAGAGGAAATGGATGCTTTTCGGGACCAGATTGACGAGGCCTTCGGCTGGAAAGGCAAAGTGCTGGAGGACGACGTTCTCATGCAGCGAGCCGCTGCGCAGGTGACCTTATTGCTGCTGCACGCATCCCCAGATGATGTGCGCAGTGAACTGCTCCACGCCAAGATCTTCGCTCTTCTTCTTGGCGACCAGTACCGGTCCCACGCCGGCAAGCTCTTCGAGTTCCTGAACGGCGCCTTTGTGCAATCCTTCCACAACACCATTTCATCTTGCCACTTGGACTTCTTGCTCGGCGCGCTGAGAAGGGCTCAAGCGTATTACTTGGTCTTTGGCAAGCTAGAGGACCGCCAAGCGGCCAAGCCCTCCCTTCTTTTGAACAAAGGTGAAGGGGTGCTTCCCTAAAATGCCTCTGTTTTGGTATGTCCCTCAAGGTTCCCCTTGTTGCTAAAGAGAAAAATATTGAATAAGGGGGCGGGGGGACACCTCTCTCCATTTGGGGACGAGCATAGGACCCGCCAGCGCGCAAGCTCGAGAATGCGATCTTTGAGGTGCGTGTCATACTGAGCACAGGCGAGGAGCAAACGCTCCTTGAGTGGCAGATGACTGATCTGCTTGGGCGTAAAGCTGAGATGAAGGCCAAGTTGTGGTTCTACGGCTTGAGTGAACTCTGTCGAGATCTTCGGCGCCAGTTTAGCGAGCACAACAAGAACATGGTGAAGAATTTCCACCGCTGGGCGGAGAGCAGCTACGACGCCTGCAAGCAGCCGGGTGTTGCGTTCCAGGATGCTTACATCTCCACGGCAGATGGTGACATCAAGCAGCTCCGAAAGGATCCGCGGCACGGGTGCTACGTGCAGGTCTCGCACCAAATCGTGTTCAGGCCATCAGACGTGAGTCGGCGCCGGCTGGCCTCTATGCTTCTGGCGTCTTTCTCTGGCGGTGATGGCTTGGAGAGGCTCCTTGCGCAGAGTGCTCTTGCTCTTTCCGGGATGCGCCAGCCGGACGTCATGAACGTCTTTTTTGGCGCAGGCATGGAAGGCAAGAGCCTGATCCTGGTCGATCTCATGGCAGCGTGCTGGGGAAGTGGATTTGGCAATCCTCCGGGCACTATGCTCCAAGTTGAGCGGGAGTTTCAGCAACAGGGGCTGAAATACTTGCATTGCGCCATGCTGACATTTGACGAGTGCCGTCGAGACCAGGGTATTGTTGAGGACGTTGTGAAGTTGTTCATTGGCAACGGCATCTTGCCTCTGCGGCGGAACCATGAGGCTGAAACCAAGGATGGCTCCTATGCCTACTGCGGCAAGAACTGGTGCATGAACTTGGGCGATGTGCCTGCCATTCCAACGGCATTGGAGAGGTCGCATTCCCGCCGGTTTCGAGGCGTCTTCATGCGCGCCAGCATGACAACGCAGGTGGAGTCTGTGGATGTAGCCTCCAAGAAGTTCTTGGCCGACGAAGACGCAAAGGGCTTCATGTCTTCAGGCGATGCTGTCTGGCCCTTCTTCCAAGACTTCTTGTTCAAGTACATGCGGCAGAGTGGCCCACGCCAGTGGTACAGGGTTCTCGACTACGTCAAGCCGGGTTCGCAGACGGAGAAGGACACTGCTTGGCTCTTGCAGAAGATGGCCCGCGTGACCACCGCAACACATCCTGACGCGCCTGGTGATGCTCCAGCGCCTCTTGGGGCCGGCCTGGAAGAGCGAGCTGAGTCTCGCGCCGTCCGGATAGTGCAGGAAACGCACGCCGCCTTGACCTCTTCTGCGCTGACAGCCCACTCGGTGAACAGATGCAGCCACGTGCAGGCCAACCCCGGCGGAGATGGCAGCAAGTCATCGAAGCACAGAAGCCGTGCAGAGTTCCTACAGGATGCAATTGCGGAGTTTCCCTATCTGCTACGACGGGCCCCAGAAGATCGCAGAGGCAGTGTGAAGTTTCTTCGCCGGCCCGTGGATGTAGGGAAGATGATGGCTGTTCTGGAAGAGGCAGGTTGTTGCGCGGGGGTGTTGATTCGGAAGGGCATCGTGAGTGTTGGCGCTTAATGGCTTCATGTGTCTCGCAGACTGATCATTGACCCGAGGTGTCTGACTGCGACATGGCAGGCGTCTTCGGCACCTGGAAAGATTGGACCTGGCCTTCGGAGCTTACCGGGGAGCGTGCGGGGGACGAGGTGAATGAGTGCGAGGAGCATGGTTTTGCAGATGGCCCGCACTGGGACTTTATGTTCCGAGTGGATGTGGAGTCGTTCGAGAAGTATGTTGCTGAAGGCAAAGACTCTCGACCACAGCAGGTGGCAGAGTACATGCGGCTTATTTCCAGCCATGTTGAGAGAGATGAGTGTGGCATGTTCATGCGCCACCGTGGAGTGCAGAAAGTTGTGGCTGGGCAGCCCTTAGGCCGTTACTACTTCCCAGCACTTAGCCCTCCAAATTTGTCTAGAGCTGCTCGCGCTGCCTTGTTCCCAGCTGGGAGCTATGAGTTTGACCAGCCCACAGCAGTTGTGCACTTCATGCTTGAAAGAGCTGAAGAGTTGGGTGTTTGCGCTTGCCTGCTTGAGAAGTACAAGACGCACAAGGCACAGTGGCGTGAGGCCGTCCAGCGCTACTTTGACTTGCCCAGCCTTGCAGATGCCAAAACACTTCTTCAGAAGGCTACGTTTGGGTTTGCGCACCCTCTCGATGGCAAGGATGCCTTGGGAGTGTTGCCAATCCTAGAAGGTCTTGCGTATGAAAGCTTCGCACTCCGAAAGGCTTTGTGTCAACAGAACGCAGCTGTTCTTGAGGCTGCCGTAGCGGCCGGCAAGAGGAGACCAGAAACCAGCACCATGGCCATGCTGCTTTTTGATGACCAAGCCAAGGTGACTCGCTCTATGCTGGGGTATATCATGAGCGGAGAGTTTGCTGGCGCAGCGGGGGTGGCGATGGCGCCGGTGACTTCACGTCAGGAGCTGAGGCGACCCGTGCACTTTCTGGACAAGGCGAAGGTGGCAAGGATGAGGGCCTTTGCAACCACTCGCAAGTCTGCCTGGGTGAAGGAGGCTGCCAGGCGAGAGGAGATGGCGCGGAAGCGCGGGTGCGAGAGGGCTCAGCAGAAAGTGAAGCGCACTGTCTTCACCAAGCAGAAGCAGAGGAAGCTGCGGCAGCGCCGCAAGCCCGCCCAGACCCAAGAGGTGAGCTTGCGCGGGCTACATGTTCAGTGGCCCTTCTCCCAGCTGCTGTTGGCGGGCTACAAGACACAGGAGGTGCGGGGCTATGCCTTGGGCCACCTCAACATCGCGCATGCGAATGAGGAGATGTGGCTGGTGGAAACGCGCGGAGGTGCATCCACGGCGAGCTACTCTGCTTGCATCCCGGAGGGCTTTCACGTCCCTCCCCGACCAAAAGGGGCGCAGATTGTGGGCACGATCCGGTTCAGCGAGGCGGTAAAACTCACCGATGGGATTTCCTTTGCTGCGGCAAGGGCAGCTCACTGCGTTCGCCAGGGCAGCAAGTTTGACTGGTGCGGCACGCCAGTCTTTGCTTGGAAAGTGGCGGCCGTCAGATCTCTTGCCTACACAGTAGCCGCCCCAGAAGGAAGAAGCCAAGTAGGATACGCCAAGCCTGTGAAAGTGCAGGTGGCGTTCAGGTGAAGCTGTGACTGAGTTGGTATCAAGCGAAAATGGCGCATGTCTGGCGGCCGCTCCTGGCTTGACATGTGAGGGCCGTCCAATAGTCCAGTTGTTCGAAATAAGTAAGGGTTGCTACTTGTGTAGCTGCTAAACCTGCGGCGCAGTTGTTAAGCTGAATAGAAAGTTGCTTCTGCCTACGTAGTCAGCGTAGTTGCACAGAAGGCGAGCCCAAACAGTTCATTGCGACAACGCATAATTGCAAGCCGAGGGTGCAAGTGAGAGTGAGTCGCGGCGTAAACATGATCACTGGTCAGCGCCGAGGCCGTCGTAGGTGAAATAGAAGCTAAGGCCAAGTGAACAGCGGGCGCGCTCATGACAAGAACGCTGGTCATGTGTAGGTGCCGTCATGTTTCTTGAACACATTCTGGCAGTCGCGAGCCCCCAACCGAACTCCAACCGATTAGCTCTTGCGTAGGAAAATAACGCTAAACAACATGGTGAGCCTGCGAACTGGTCTGATCGTAGGTCAAATTCTCAAAGATAGCTGGCAAAACTTGTTTGGGGCCAAGGCAGGCCTTGCAACCGCCATCCGTAAAAAGACAGCTGATTCTCTGCGCAGGCAGAGCTCTAGAGGTTGCTGAGCCTGCTGCTGCCAAATGCGTGCGCCAGTCGCCCTTCCGCATTGCTTTAACGAAGTGGCATCAAGAATATCACGTTCCAAACGCAGCCCTGACAACTTCTGCACTGCTTCCGCAAAATAGATCCCACGCGTGCTGCCCAACAACCAGTAACAACCCTTTAATATCTCGAAAGCGGCCGCCAGACATGCGCAATTTTCGCTTGATACCAACTCAGTCACAGCTTCACCTGCTTCAACGCCACGCACTTTCACAGGCTTGGCGTATCCTACTTGGCTTCTTCCTTCTGGGGCGGCTACTGTGTAGGCAAGAGATCTGACGGCCGCCACTTTCCAAGCAAAGACTGGCGTGCCGCACCAGTCAAACTTGCTGCCCTGGCGAACGCAGTGAGCTGCCCTTGCCGCAGCAAAGGAAATCCCATCGGTGAGTTTTACCGCCTCGCTGAACCGGATCGTGCCCACAATCTGCGCCCCTTTTGGTCGGGGAGGGACGTGAAAGCCCTCCGGGATGCAAGCAGAGTAGCTCGCCGTGGATGCACCTCCGCGCGTTTCCACCAGCCACATCTCCTCATTCGCATGCGCGATGTTGAGGTGGCCCAAGGCATAGCCCCGCACCTCCTGTGTCTTGTAGCCCGCCAACAGCAGCTGGGAGAAGGGCCACTGAACATGTAGCCCGCGCAAGCTCACCTCTTGGGTCTGGGCGGGCTTGCGGCGCTGCCGCAGCTTCCTCTGCTTCTGCTTGGTGAAGACAGCGCGCTTCACTTTCTGCTGAGCCCTCTCGCACCCGCGCTTCCGCGCCATCTCCTCTCGCCTGGCAGCCTCCTTCACCCAGGCAGACTTGCGAGTGGTTGCAAAGGCCCTCATCCTTGCCACCTTCGCCTTGTCCAGAAAGTGCACGGGTCGCCTCAGCTCCTGACGTGAAGTCACCGGCGCCATCGCCACCCCCGCTGCGCCAGCAAACTCTCCGCTCATGATATACCCCAGCATAGAGCTGATCAGCTCGGCCTGGCTCCTTTGAGCGACTGTGGGGTGGTACGATGCCGAGTTGTGCGCCAACATTTTGCCCAAGCAGAACGCCTCCAGCTTCAATGTCGAGGAGTCCACATGCTGTTGGGTGACTGTTTGCTGGGAGCGGTTGAACTGGAAGTGCACAGCTTCGTTAGCAGTCGTGCCCCACGATAGCATCTGCCGATCTTGCAGGCTCAGCGCTGCAGTGGCTCGGCTTCCGTTGAGTAGGTAGGCGTAGTGCTGGTAGGCTGCTCCAGACTGAAGAATCTGAAACACTGTCCTGCCCTTGCTATCTTTTCGACCCATGTCAGTGGCGAAGCGGACGGTCAAGCTTGCCAAGTCATCAATGTAGTCCTGGTGTGACGCATAGGGCTCCTGCACGTATGCGTTCCACTCTCTGCCTCGAGCCTTCATGTTGTCCGCCTTTGCTGGCCACTTTCCTTCTTCTCCAGCGGCAGGAAGCTCACCTCTGTGAATGCGACCGCTGGCAGGCACCATGAACTTGCGCTGCAAGGCAATGATCCCACGTGAGAGGGCTGTGCGCTTCTCGCCGAAGCACGCCTCCACCCGCAGACCAAGATGCAGACCGTCCTCTGCCATGCCTTGTAGGTTTGGGAAGAGCTCCCTGACATGGTCAATGGCAGCAGGAGAGTCACTGAAAATCCACTCTGTTGTGGAACGGGCTTCCGGTGGCAAAATTGCCTTGCACGCGCGCTCAAAGCACGCCAAGCCCTCTGATGCCTGCGCGCTCAAGCCCGGAAGAGCCCCTAACTTCCCCAGGATGCTGTGTAAAGCATGTGCTTCGTTTGGCTTCTGTGACATTGGAACTTGACCAATGATGCTAAACAAGCTCTTGAACGTGGCATCATGGCTGAGGACTTGCCATTCTCCGTGCTGGGTGGCCTCCGCGAGAAGCTGCCCTCTCAAAGTCTGCACTGCATCACTGGAGAAAATCTCATCCAACAGCTGCTGCTGCGTACTCTGGCGCCGAAGGCCTAAAAAAGCACACGGGCTGCCTTTGGCGATGAAGGCAGAAACCAAATCCTGAAAGCTCGCCTGCACCCGGCCTTGATGCTTCAGAACCAACCCAAGCAACATGGCTGCAGCGGTGCTGTCGTAGTACACGTTTTGGTTGAGGCGTTTGCAATGAGAGGTTTGCTGCTTCAGGACATACTGTGGGCCCTCGCCCGTGAGCAGGAGCACCAAATCCACATCATTCTGCTTTTGAAGGAAGACCTGCGAGTCTTCGTCCGGACTCACCCATCTCCGGATAAGATCTGCAGAGTCCCTCAGCAAGCTTTCAGAGTGCCTCGGCTGCTGCAAGGGGGCCAAAATCTGGTCCTGCTCATACAGAGCTTGCACCGTGTTCCACTGAGCCTCGGTTCTGGTGTTGGCAGTGAACAATCGTGTCTGGACGTGGTACTTCGTAAGATGCGTCTGGAGTTGACGCCTTTCCGAAAATTCCCGAAAAGGACAGAAGGGGCACTTCGCAGTTGACCCACGCGCGTTGCCTGAGGAAGCAGCGGGCTCAAAAAAAAACACGGCTCGCAACTTGTTAAACTTGTTTGTCCTTCTTGATCAGGCCCCGCACCAAACAAAAAACAACAAAATGTGCCCACATGCTGGGTGAGTTGCGCCGTCCCTCCTGCGCCAACTCATCTAGACGCTTGATTTCAGCAGAAACCTCCGCCCTCACCTTCTCAGCCACTGTGCCCAACACTCGCTCGGCAACGTCGGGCGCTTCGGCCCCGCTAAGCATGTCCAGCAGAGGGTTCGCCAGCTTGCGCTTGCGAAGCGAAAGTGAGGCCGACAACAACTTGGCTTCGAAGACGTGAGCGCGTGGCAAGGCTGCCACGGAACGCCAGAAAGTGGCGGCGTCAATTTCCACTGCCTGCATAACGGAGTCACTGTGCACCCTGCACTTGCCAGCGTAACAGAGCACGCCGATGGCATGGCCCACCTCCCGCCTGGCCGGGTCTCGTGCACGATGTAGTGGCTGCCATCACCAGCTGCAGCAGAAGCAACGCTGACAGGCTCCAGGCTCAGCCCTGGGTGTAGTTCCATGCACTGTCTGAAGCTAAGCGGTCCATCTCCACACCCGAAGCTGGCAGCCAAAGTCTCATCCTCAGCGCGAAAGATGTTCGCCAGCGAGAAAGCCAAGCACTTCTGAGCGCCCGCTACGACCATGCAGTCTTCCAGCCGCTCAGCACCGTCGTTCTGCAGGCTTTCCAGAACCTGTGACAAAGTGCCTGCCTGTGGCTGTCGCCCCGCCATGCGCAGCTCTGTCACCTCCATGCGAACATTTGACTGCGCAGCGAAGCTTTCCACAATGGCAGAAATTGCCTCGCCCCCTGCCAGCGGTGCTGCGGCCACTGCATCATACACTGGCGCTGCAGGCAGCCACTTGAAAGCTTGGAGACAATTACAGAAGTCGCGAGTCACCTTGGCTTCGTCATCAAAAAGCAGCATGGCCATGGTGCTGGTTTCTGGTCTCCTCTTGCCGGCCGCTACGGCAGCCTCAAGAACAGCTGCGTTCTGTTGACACAAAGCCTTTCGGAGTGTGAAGCTTTCATACGCAAGACCTTCTAGGATTGGCAACACTCCCAAGGCATCCTTGCCATCGAGAGGTTGCGCAAACCCAAACGTAGCCTTCTGAAGAAGTGTTTTGGCATCTGCAAGGCTGGGCAAGTCAAAGTAGCGCTGGACGGCCTCACGCCACTGTGCCTTGTGCGTCTTGTACTTCTCAAGCAGGCAAGCGCAAACACCCAACTCTTCAGCTCTTTCAAGCATGAAGTGCACAACTGCTGTGGGCTGGTCAAACTCATAGCTCCCAGCTGGGAACAAGGCAGCTCTAGACAAATTTGGAGGGCTAAGTGCTGGGAAGTAGTAACGGCCTAAGGGCTGCCCAGCCACAACTTTCTGCACTCCACGGTGGCGCATGAACATGCCACACTCATCTCTCTCAACATGGCTGGAAATAAGCCGCATGTACTCTGCCACCTGCTGTGGTCGAGAGTCTTTGCCTTCAGCAACATACTTCTCGAACGACTCCACATCCACTCGGAACATAAAGTCCCAGTGCGGGCCATCTGCAAAACCATGCTCCTCGCACTCATTCACCTCGTCCCCCGCACGCTCCCCGGTGGGCTCCGAAGGCCAGGTCCAATCTTTCCAGGTGCCGAAGACGCCTGCCATGTCGCAGTCAGACACCTCGGGTCAATGATCAGTCTGCGAGACACATGAAGCCATTAAGCGCCTACACTCACGATGCCCTTCCGAATCAACACCCCCGCGCAACAACCTGCCTCTTCCAGAACAGCCATCATCTTCCCTACATCCACGGGCCGGCGAAGAAACTTCACACTGCCTCTGCGATCTTCTGGGGCCCGTCGTAGCAGATAGGGAAACTCCGCAATTGCATCCTGTAGGAACTCTGCACGGCTTCTGTGCTTCGATGACTTGCTGCCATCTCCGCCGGGGTTGGCCTGCACGTGGCTGCATCTGTTCACCGAGTGGGCTGTCAGCGCAGAAGAGGTCAAGGCGGCGTGCGTTTCCTGCACTATCCGGACGGCGCGAGACTCAGCTCGCTCTTCCAGGCCGGCCCCAAGAGGCGCTGGAGCATCACCAGGCGCGTCAGGATGTGCTGCGGTGGTCACGCGGGCCATCTTCTGCAAGAGCCAAGCAGTGTCCTTCTCCGTCTGCGAACCCGGCTTGACGTAGTCGAGAACCCTGTACCACTGGCGTGGGCCACTCTGCCGCATGTACTTGAACAAGAAGTCTTGGAAGAAGGGCCAGACAGCATCGCCTGAAGACATGAAGCCCTTTGCGTCTTCGTCGGCCAAGAACTTCTTGGAGGCTACATCCACAGACTCCACCTGCGTTGTCATGCTGGCGCGCATGAAGACGCCTCGAAACCGGCGGGAATGCGACCTCTCCAATGCCGTTGGAATGGCAGGCACATCGCCCAAGTTCATGCACCAGTTCTTGCCGCAGTAGGCATAGGAGCCATCCTTGGTTTCAGCCTCATGGTTCCGCCGCAGAGGCAAGATGCCGTTGCCAATGAACAACTTCACAACGTCCTCAACAATACCCTGGTCTCGACGGCACTCGTCAAATGTCAGCATGGCGCAATGCAAGTATTTCAGCCCCTGTTGCTGAAACTCCCGCTCAACTTGGAGCATAGTGCCCGGAGGATTGCCAAATCCACTTCCCCAGCACGCTGCCATGAGATCGACCAGGATCAGGCTCTTGCCTTCCATGCCTGCGCCAAAAAAGACGTTCATGACGTCCGGCTGGCGCATCCCGGAAAGAGCAAGAGCACTCTGCGCAAGGAGCCTCTCCAAGCCATCACCGCCAGAGAAAGACGCCAGAAGCATAGAGGCCAGCCGGCGCCGACTCACGTCTGATGGCCTGAACACGATTTGGTGCGAGACCTGCACGTAGCACCCGTGCCGCGGATCCTTTCGGAGCTGCTTGATGTCACCATCTGCCGTGGAGATGTAAGCATCCTGGAACGCAACACCCGGCTGCTTGCAGGCGTCGTAGCTGCTCTCCGCCCAGCGGTGGAAATTCTTCACCATGTTCTTGTTGTGCTCGCTGAACTGGCGCCGAAGATCTCGACAGAGTTCACTCAAGCCGTAGAACCACAACTTGGCCTTCATCTCAGCTTTACGCCCAAGCAGATCAGTCATCTGCCACTCAAGGAGCGTTTGCTCCTCGCCTGTGCTCAGTATGACACGCACCTCAAAGATCGCATTCTCGAGCTTGCGCGCTGGCGGGTCCTATGCTCGTCCCCAAATGGAGAGAGGTGTCCCCCCGCCCCCTTATTCAATATTTTTCTCTTTAGCAACAAGGGGAACCTTGAGGGACATACCAAAACAGAGGCATTTTAGGAAAGTACCCCTGCACCTTTGTTCAAAAGAAGGGAGGGCTTGGCCGCTTGGCGGTCCTCTAGCTTGCCAAAGACCAAGTAATACGCTTGAGCCCTTCTCAGCGCGCCGAGCAAGAAGTCCAAGTGGCAAGATGAAATGGTGTTGTGGAAGGACTGCACAAAGGCGCCGTTCAGGAACTCGAAGAGCTTGCCGGCGTGGGACCGGTACTGGTCGCCAAGAAGAAGAGCGAAGATCTTGGTGTGGAGCAGTTCACTGCGCACATCATCTGGGGATGCGTGCAGCAGCAATAAGGTCACCTGCGCAGCGGCTCGCTGCATGAGAACGTCGTCCTCCAGCACTTTGCCTTTCCAGCCGAAGGCCTCGTCAATCTGGTCCCGAAAAGCATCCATTTCCTCTGCCATTGTCCTGGCGCGCCTAGCTACATCTTTGGTGAAGGCCGGCTCGCTTACGCTCGCTTGAGGACCACACTCAAAGCCAGCAGGAGCCCATGTCTCCAAGATCTCGTCCAAGTTGCGCAGCCCTCCTCTGGAGCTACTGGCAAGGGCGCCAGAAGGAAGAGGCTGCGCAGCTGTGCTGTTCGGCACGCGAGCCTGGCGGCTGTCTGAAAATAATTCCTTCCCCCGGAAACGCAATCTTCGCGGAACAAAAAAGTAACTTTCGCGGCCTTCATCACGAGTACAATTCCGCAGTGAGGCTTGGAAGTGCTAACTGTTCAGAACGAAAGTTGTACAAAGTAAATTTCCGGCGCCCCAGCTCGAAAGTCGCAACTTTTCAGTTCCAAAGTAGTACGCGAAGTGCACTTCCGCAGCCCCAGCTCGAAAGCCGTGCAGCAGCACAGGAGGGAACCTGTTGGCCACTCATGGCGCTGGGGGGTTTCCTGCATTTGTTGGCGGCAATCCTCTGGCCGCGCTTTCCTCCGACTAGCTTTGCGCGTTCTGCACAAACTGACGGCAAATGCATATAGCTCATCATTATCTTCCTTTTAGCAAACTGCCCTTAGGCAAATAGGCAAAACTTTCGAAAGAAAAGTGGCAACTTTCGCGAAGCTTTCGCGGATGGCAGTAATACGACAAAAAAGGTCTTCCCCTTCCTAATTTCCTGAATGTAAGAACCTTTCGGACGACTCCCGCCTGCGAAGCCGGCACTGTCTCCAACTCAGCAAAGCTGCGAGCCAGCACCTGAGGGTCTTCCAGCGCTGCCAGCCGGCGAGCCGAGTACAGGCGCAGCCAGGCTTGCAGCGGCGCGTCCTCCTGCGCCTCCATGACTCCAGGCGTGCTTCCTTGAGCCGCAACTTACGCAGAGATCGTTCCTAAACCGCAAGTCGCTCAATCGCTGAGCGCCAGCCCCTGGCAGCAATCGTGCGAGATCATGATACGAGTAAAGCCGGCAGAGCCTTAGGCTATAGGGGTGCTTGCGGCGAACCCGCTGGGCCTCATTGAAATGGTCATGGAACCTTCTACTTGTTTGTCTCACTTGCGCTTGCGCGTTTGTATCTGACCGTCTGTTGCGCTATCTACGCGGGCGGCGAACCATCTGTTAATTTGTCAGGCTGTCTCTACCTGTTGAGCTATCTATCTGTCAAGCTAGCTACCTGTCGAAGTCTCTGCCTGAAGCTACTCGTATGTTCAGCTATCTGTCTGTCAAGCTCCCAGCTACCTGTCGAGCTGTGCATCTGTTAAGCTATCTGTTTGCTGTCCAGCTATTTATTATTGGTTGGGTTATCTATCTGTCGGGCTATCTGTCTGTCAGGCTGTCTGCCCGCGCCTTCTGCCGGCGCGAAGTGCACCCCGCTACACACGCGCACTTCCCCGACCCTGGTGGCAGCACCGACCCCGCTGTCCACCAGCCAACGTCTGATCCAATACTTCACAACTCTGCGTTGCCCCGCCGGCGCGAAGCACACCCCGCTACGCATGTGCACCTCCCCGACTCCAGCAGCAGCACCGACCCCGCTGCGTGCCAGCCAGCAACAAAGACAAAACAAAAAAGCAGGAGCCTTCTGCAGTGCATTCCGCTACATATGCGCATTTCCCCAGCCTTGGTGGCAGCACCGACCCCGCTGTCCACCAGCCACTATCTCAATTTTCTGTGCCCCTGCACGTGGCCATGGTCAGCGTGAATCCCCCTATTGACACAAATCATGTACAAATCACAAAGCGCAATCAACCGGCACGCGGCCCCAAACGTTGCCAGTAAGGTCCGGCGCAGCCGGGGGGCGGAAGTTTCCAAAATATATAAACTATAGTTGTCCTTCTCTTTCTTTTCTCGATGTTTCTCTTCTTTCTTTCCTTTTTTATTTTCATTGTGTCTTTTCCGTCCATCGTTATTGCTTTCTTTGTTATTTGTTGTTCTTTCTTTCTTTCTGTCTTTCTTTCTTTCTTCCTTCCTTCCTTCTTTCTTTCTTTTTTTCTTTCTTTCTGTCTGTCTTTCTTTCTTTCTTTCTTTCTTTCTTTCTTTCTTTCCTGCTTCCTTCCTTTCCTGCCCTTCCTTCTTTATTTAGTTCTTTCCGTTCTTTCTGTTATTTCTTTCTTATTGTTTCGATCTATCTCTCTAACTATCTACCTATCTGTCTATCTATCTACCTACCTATCTAACTATCTATCTACCTATATTTCTAGCTCCCTCTCTCTCTCTCAATCAATCTATCTATCACTCCATCCATCTATATATATCGGTATCTCTCTCTCTCTATCTATCTATCTATCTATCTACCTACCTACCTAACTATCTCTCTCTCTCTCTCTCTCTCTATCTCTCTCTCTCTCTCTCTCCCTTGTCAAACTACATGCTTCACTTTGCACTCTTGTCGCATGTATGTTCACTACCGCAGGCCTTGAGCTTACTACTCCGCATGAGTCAAAAGGTTGGCAGCTGCAGACTACATTGGTTGACTGTTTGTTTGAACACTACAGCACTTGCACTTGTAAGCAAAGTAACAACAGATTTTAACGTCCCTCTCTGTCTCTCTATCTGTCTATCTACCTACCTACCTGCCTACCTACCTATCTCTCTATCTACATATCTAACTTTCTACTTACCTATCTTTCTATCTCTCTCTCTCTCTATCGATCTATATCTCTATTTATCTATCTGTCCATCTATTTATCTATCTGCGTCGCATGTTTAACAGTTATACTGTCCGGCAGTGTTCAACGTACGGGGACCTCGGGTGGCGCAAGCGCAGCCGGGTTGAGGCTTCTATGCCGGGCAGGTGTCGCGGCAGCGGAGGCTTCTATGCCAGGCAGGGATGTGGCGCGGCAGGGGGCTCGCCTGAAATGCAGCCTGGAGCCAGTGTCCGATATAATGGGACACTGCTTCGCAGTTGGTGATAACATACGAGACATCATCAGCTGCGTGCCTGGCGCGCTAGGCATCGAAGCCTCCACGGCGGGCTCCGATGCCGGGCAGGTGGCGCGGCCGGGAGGCTTCTATGCGGGGCAGGTTCGCCGAAACTTTAGACAGTTGTCGGCTTAGACGACAACCTCGACATTTTGCTTCCTGGGAAGAATCCCGACCTTGGCGCGGGCTCGGTGGGCTGGCGTGGCTCCGATGCCGGGCAGGTGGCGCGGCAGGGAGGCTTCTATGCCAGGCCCCCCCCCCCCAACGATGGGGGCATCTGGAATAGCATCTTGAGATCCAGTTCAAGTGAGTTTCCATTTGATTTAGTATTGGCAGACTTGAGTTTCCATTTGATTTAGTATTGCTGGAGCTTCCTTTTGAGATTTGGAGCTGAGTTTCCATTTGATTTAGTATTGCTGCAGCTTCCTTTTCAAAATTTGGAGCTGAGTTTCCATTTGATTTAGTATTGCTGGAGCTTCCTTTTGAGATTTGGAGCTGAGTTTCCATTTGATTTAGTATTGCAGGAGCTTCCTTTTGAGATTTGGAACTGAGTTTCCATTTGATTTAGTATTGCTGGAGCTTTTGATTTAGTTTTGGTAGACTTGAGTTTCCATTTGATTTAGTATTGTAGACTTGATTTCCATCTGAATTACTCAGTTTCCATTTGATTTAGCATTGGTTTTTCATTTCCTTTTCCTTCTCTCATCTCTTCCCCTCTCTCCTTGGCTGGCTGGGAGGGGGCAGGAGGTTTGGAGACATCAGCAGCCACAGTAGCAAAAAGGCAATGCAAAAGGTAGGCAGCAAGAGCGACCAAGGTTTGCAGGTAGGTGTTGCAAAGCTCCCTGTAGGATCAGATCTCAGTGAGATGTTTCCAGAGAAAAAAGAGAAGTTGCCCCTGCAAGATTCAAAGGGAGAGGGAGGAGAGAAGATACAAGAGAAAGTAGAAGAACCAGCCAAAGAGAAGGTGGAAGTACAGTTGGAAGATGTGCCAACAGAAGAACCTGAAGGAAAAGAAGAGCCTGAAGGAGAAGTGGGTGAAAAGAAAGATCACAAGGAGGTGGCTGAAGCCTAGCAGGCAGCTGCCTGTAGCAGCCAGCTAGAAGCCAGCTGCTGAGAGCAAAAAAGGAAGCAGAGCTGGGCCAAAGCTGCAGGGTTAGTAGGAGTTTGAGGCAGGTTTGCATGAGGTCATTGGCCAGCTTGAGAGAGGGTTGCTAGGAGTTTGAGGCAGGTTTGCATGAGGTTTTTTGGCAGCTGGAGTTTGGCCAGCTTGAGAGAGGGTTGGTAGGAGTTTGAGGCAGGTTTGCATGAGGTTTTTTGGCCAGCTGGGGTTTGGCCAGCTTGAGAGAGGGTTGGTAATTAGGAGTTTGAGGCAGGTTTGCATGAGGGTTTTTGGCCAGCTGAAGTTTGGCCAGCTTGGAAATTAGGAGTTTGAGGCAGGTTTGCATGAGGTTTTTTGGCCAGCTGGAGTTTGGCCAGCTTGAGAGAGGGTTGGTAGGAGTTTGAGGCAGGTGTGCATGAGGTAATTAGCCAGCATGAAGAAGCGAGCTTGGAGCAGCTGTCAGCTCTCCAAGCAAGTTGTGCTTCAGCTTCAAGCTTTGCATAGCTGCTGGGCTTCCACAGCAGTTGGTGGTTAGTTTTCCTTTCAGCATGAGTTAATTACACTGATTTCATGCATTTGTTTGGGTTCAGTTGACAATCTCAGGTTGCAGAGATGGACAGGCTGGCAGGGCTGATCAGCAAGATGAAGGCCAAGAGGACACAGGTGGCAGTTGGGCTTGTAGCTCTGGCAGTTGGGTTTCTCAGCAACAGAGCCCCAGCTTGACTTAGCTTCTCTTTGGGAAAGTTTGGGAAAGTTTGAGAAAGATTGCCCAACCCCCTGCAGCCCAGGAGATGCTCGCACAGTTGTCATGTCCAAGGGGGCACTGGTGGTGGCACAGTTGGACATTGGAAAGGCTGCTTGGTGTAATTTAGCTGGTTT